TCAATAAAAAGAAAGGGATCATGGCTCCAGGATGCCTATGATGCTGGCAGCTTATGCGGTTACCAACAACTGTCCAGTTAACTCATACACACATGCACAGTGTGAAGAAAGACCTAATGTCGAGGACACACTCAGCCTGTCTGACTGATCTTTGCCTAGGACAAGTTCAGATCCTGAGAATAACAACGAATGAAAGAATGGTTTGAAAAAAATCAAAAGCTGCAACTGAGAAACCTTAATATATGTATGCCAGGAAATACAATCCTTTACAAAGTTCAGAAACATGTAAAACTAAGCAATACATTTTTCGGGATATAAAACACACTGTAAATCCATCACTGTTTTTGTTTTGGGGCCACATGCAGCAGTGCTTAGGGCTTATTCCTGGTTCTGTGTAGCGATAGCTCCTGGTGGAGCTACCACATAGTGTACCAGAGATCAAATATGGGTGAGCTGCATGCAAGGCAAGCACCTTACCTTCTGTGCTATCTGTCCAGCTACTGTTTAACCATTTGTAAAAAGGGAAAATATGGGGCTGGAGCAACAGTACAGTGAGTAGGGCGCCTGCCCTGTGCACAGCCTACCTAGGTTCAATCCCCTGGCATCTCATATAGTTCCCCAAGCAGTGCCAGGGAATAATTCCTGAGTGCAAAAGGAGTGAGCCTGAACATGCCCGGTTCAGGTTCCAAAATAAGAACAAACAAGCCATAATTATCATAATAATACGGAAAATAAAGGAATAGACAGTATTAATTCTAAGTCAAGTATCACCCTGGTACAAAGACAAGAAAAGTAATCTAATCTCTCTTAAAATGAAAAAAATTATGGAAATATCATTTAACAAAATGCTAGCAAATCGAAGCATGTGAAAGGAATGTAAAAACATCATCATGATTAAGTAGAAGTTATCCTTGGAATGAGAAGTTGCTTTAACATACAGAGATGAGTAAATGTAATGTGTGTAGAATCAAGGGTAAAGACCTACAAAATACCTTTTTTAAATAGGCTTTTTCAGCAAGAAGCTCCCATGTGTCCACAATCCAGACACACACACAGGAATCTCCAAGCAACTTGCAGCAGAGATTTCTTCAAACCCTAATTATTAAAATTTTAGAATTCCTAGAGTGCGCAGCCACTGTTGGGGCCACTCGACATATTATAACCATAACAAGTAATACAAAACCCATTGTCTAGCGATTGTATTTTCGGCAGGTATGAGGAGTGGTAGGGCTGGCCTTGAAATATCGAAGGTAGCTAAAGTAGAGAAAAAATATTTTGCAAATTGTCTGCTACACAGGCAGGGGGAGGTGTGGAATGGGGGGGCAATACTGGGGATTTTGGTTGTGGAAAATGTGCACTGCTGAAGGAATGGGTGTTTGATGACCGTATTATCAAAGTTCAAACATAAAATTTTTGTTACTGTATCTCACAGTGAATAAATTTAAAAAAGGAAAAAAATAATAAAATAGGCTTTTTGGGTTACACCTGATGATACTCGGGTCACTCCTGACTCTGCACTCAAGAATTATTCCTGGAGGTGACCACGAGACCATATGGGATGCCTGGGATTGAACTCAGGTTGGCCACATGCAAGGCAAATGCCCTGCCTGCTGCACTATTTTTCCAGCCACAGATAGCAGATACAAAATTAAAGAGAAAGATTAGACAGTAATGGGACTGGAGCGATAGCAGAGCGGGTAGGGCGTTTGCCTTGCATGTGGCCAACCCGGGTTCAATTCCCAGCATCCCATATGGTCCCGAACACTGCCAGGAGTAATTCCTGAGTGCAGAGCCAGGAGTAACCCCTGAGCATTGCCAGGTATGACCCAAAAAGCAAAAAAAAAAAGATTAGACAGTAATTGGGCTGGGGATGTAGATCAGTGGGAGAATACATGCTTTTTTTTTTTTTTTAATTTTTTTTTTTGCTTGTTGGGTCACACCCAGCAATGCTCAGGGGTTACTCCTGGCTCTGCACTTAGGAATTACTCCTGGCAGTGCTTGGGGGACCATATGGGATGCTCAGAATTGAACCCAGGTTGGCCGCTTGCAAGGCAAATGCCCTACCCACTGTACTATCACTCCCACCCCTAGGAATCACTATTATGCTCAGAGCATAATATGGGATGCTGTTAGAATCCCGGGTCAGCCTCCAGCAAGGCAAGAGGCTGTACTAACTGTGCTCTCTGTTCCTCTTTCTAATTTCTTAAGTTACATACTTAAAGGACTGGAGCAATAGCACAGTGGGTTTTGCCTTGCACGCGGCCGACCCGGGTTCAATTCCTCCCTCCCTGTCGGAGAGCCCAGCAAGCTACCGAGAATATCCCGCCTGCATGCCAGAGCCTGGCAAGCTCCCTGTAGCATATTCCATATGCCAAAACAGTAACAGCAAGTCTCACAATGGAGATGTTACTGGTGCCTGCTCGAGCAAATCAATGAACAATGGGAGGACAGTACATTACAGTACAGTATCATTTCAATCCTATGTTATGAATTGAGATATGTCGTTTCATCGCTTTGTGCCCCTCTATTCCCTTTTTTTGCTGCTGTTGCAGTATCTGGGTGTCACATTTGGTTGCAGTGTATGTCCACATGCTTGCTGGAGGTCACCCTCTTTAGTGGTGGTGCAAGTACAGACTTGGCTTTGTGTCAGAGATCATATAGTACCTTTGGTTCCCCAAGTAACACAGGAATAATTCCTGAGTGCAGAGCCAGGAGTATTATATGAACATTGCTGAGTGTAGCCAAAACCCCCACCCCACTCCACCCTCAACCCCCCAAAAAAGTTGTATAAGTCATCTGTCTCTGTGTAAAATATCCTTTCCTGTTCTCATTTCCTATTAAACCAAGTAAAATCAGTATCATCTTTGGTTTCAGTTATATTGCATTAGGAAGATTCTCAATTGTTTAGGATTTGGGGGGCGGGGGCCACACCTGGCTGTGCTTAGGGATCACCCCATGGTCACTCCAGTAGTTCTCTGGGGACCTTATATAGTTCCAAGAGATCAAACCAGGATTGGCTGTGTGCAACGCAAGAGCCTTAACCCCTGTACTATCTGTGTAGCCCAAAATACTCTTTTTAGAAAATCTTTAGGTGGTAAACTCTTTACCTGGAAATGCCTTTTCATTGTTCTGAAAAACATTTTATATATACTAGGGAAATTACTTTTCTCAGCATTCTGTTTTTTGACCATTTTTAAATTTTATTTTTGGTGAAGCAGGGTAGTTTTAATTGAAACTTAATTAGAAAGGTGTGAGGGGAGAAAAAGGGAGAAGTACATGTTTGAGAGAGAACATCGGCATCTCCAGAGGGGAAGTAAGCAAGCAAAGAAATGGAGGGACAAGCAACTGGAGATAATGTGTTCAAGAGAAAAGCCAGATTTTACCTTCTATTGATTTAGAGTCTGGTAGTCTTGTCATAAATCTTTAATTTTTTGCTAGAGAACTTCATTTCATTATCTCCAGTGTTTTGCAGGTAGAATTTATGTAGGCACATTCCTATTGAGCCTCTATAATATACTTTGTAGCTCCTCTCTGTGAGTTATCTTTTATCAGTTTGGCAAAATTCTTGGTCATTATATTAAAAAAATCCTCTCATCTCTCTGTCACGTGGTAGTACAGCCATAGCTATCATTTAATTCTAGAAATTTTGGGTCAGTGTTTGGGAGGCATATGTGTTGCAGGGCATTTGAAACAGATCTGCTGCATGTTCTGTCTCCAGCCCTGAATTCTAGAACACTTTCGTTAATCTGTTATGTATTTTTTATTTGTTTTTCTCTATAGCTATTGAACCTACCCTCTGAATAATTGAATGTTTTATAATTTTTATTAGGATTTAAATTTTTCTTTGTGAAAGTCTCAATTGAATCTGCAGTGACTAGATTTTTTTTTTCATTTTAAATAGCATATTGTGTTTGTTCAGTTTCATAGCTCCATTTTTTTCTTTTTTTAGTGGGTGGGGACAGCCAGTATTGCTCAGGGGGTACTTCTTGCCCAGGGCCGTAGGGTCAGTCCCAGTGGTGCTCAGGGAACTATACAATCGATGCCAGGTATTGAGCCAGTGTTTCTGAATGCAAAGCATGCTCTTCAGCCCTTTGATACCCAGCATACATGGTTGCCTGAGCAACACTGGGAAACTGCTCATTAAGCACTAAGAAGAATTAGCCCAAAAACAAAATAAACAAAAAAAGTGTGTTTAGAGCAGAAGAGATAGTATACAGGACTTGAGGTACTTTGCTTGTGACTGACCCCATTTCGATCCCCAGCACTATGATGATCCCCAGAGCATTGCTAGGTGCAGCCCTGGAGACCCCTAAACACCACCAGAATGACTCCGGTGGTCCCTGGCATAACTCATTCTCAGGTCTTCCATTGACCTGCCAACCCAGTGACCTCTGGGTCTCCTGAATACTGCTGGGTGTCCCCAACTTCCCAGAATTGTGTTTCAAGGCCAGAGTAGTAGATAGCACAAGAGTTAGGTAGGGTGCTCACTTTGCACGTGGCCAAGCTCAGACACAAATAAAGTCCCCCGAGCACCACCAGGAGTGATCTCTGAGCACAGAGCCCAGGAGTAAGCCTTAGTGGCACTGAATGTGGACTCCACAGCCCATCCCCCCAAAAAGTAAAATTCACTCTCTCTCTTTTTTTATTGCATTTTGTGTATCTGATTGGTTAGGGTTTGTTTAATTTTTTTTTAATCAGAGATATCTATATCGCCTAAAAAAAATTAAACTCTTAACTATAAATTTTCTTTTTATTTGACTATTAGCACAATCATATACAAATTATGCCAGTGAATTCTCACTTGTTGAAATGAAAAATTTCAACAGTTTTTTTCTGGTAATGAAAAATACAGTGTAAAATAAAATGTAATGACTATAATGAAAAGTTCTATTTTTTTTCTCTTTAAGATTTTTTTTAATAATACTTAAAATTCTACGAAGTCAGTTTTTTTAAAAATTCTACCAAGCCCATCTCTAATTTCTATTTTGTATTTCTCACAGGATTATGTTGACAAGGAGAAGGCAATTGCCAAAGCATTAGAAGACCTCAGAGCGAACTTTTATTGTGAACTATGTGATAAACAGTATCAGAAACATCAGGAATTTGACAACCATATCAACTCCTATGATCATGCACACAAACAGGTGAGGAATAGCTACTTGCTAACAAAGAAAAAGTTGCTTTGTTGTTATTTCTGTTAAATTTTGTGAGTGTACACAAAAAACTTGCCTGTGGTTTCTTTTATCTGCCTGTCTTTCTTTATCTGGTAACGACTGACTGAGTTGGTATTTACAGTGGCAAAAGTACTGCCTTAGACTTCTCCCTGTAAGAATAAATGTAGAGTGAATGGAGAATCTTGAACTTAATAAAACTTACAAGTTTTGGCTTTGAATTATTTGGTTTTTTTTTTCCCTCTGGGTTTTTTTCCCCTTTTTTAAACTCTGCTAGGATAGAACAGGCTACCTCAGTAGGATATGAAGTTGGTCTGTTTCTATCACTGCGGTTACTTTAGCACAAACCTGGTTCCCCTTACATCTGCAGCATAATCCAGTTAGTGATAGAGTTTGAGAGCTCGTGCTGAAAGATTTCTGAATTACTATTTAATTTGGTGGTTTGAGTAAGGCTCACTAGAAAGTTGTTTCTTTTACTCCCTTTCTTAACATGCTAAGTTTCGAAATAATATCCCACACTGAGTACATTTCATCTTGTCTATATAACTTATTGCTTAATTGGTTGCTTTCTGTCAATGAATCATTTTGTTATCTATTATTTCCAAAACCTTGGAAAGGTAGGCAAATCTTAAGAAAAATATGAGAATAGATTGTAACTTGAACAAAAAAATTCTGGCACTACATTTGAAGAGCTTCCTTAAAAAATAAATAAATAAAATTACCTTTCTTTCATTGACTTGGAAAAGAAACTTATACCTAAGTAGCTACTGGTGTTATGAAGCCTTTAATAATTCCCCAGGGAGGATTTTAGAAGGAAATTAGTTCGTAAATCTATAGAACAGATTTCGCTCACCAAGAATTTCAGGCCGTTTGCCCTTGGATGACTTAGCAGAATTTACTCGATCTTTGCAGGTGGGGAGGGACAATGGTTTTGTTTGTCAAACTTGTAAGATTTATGAGCATTACTGAAATGCTCACTTTAGATCTGTGGAGCCACGTTTCTTTAATCTTTGCTTCATCTTCCAACAAGCCATAAGATTTCAGTGCACAGGTAAAAGGCGTGTATTGACTAAATTTTACTTTTACTAACAAGGATTGTTTGTAAGCTGGTTATGGTGTTGTTATTTTTGTAATAATCTGTTCCACATTTAACCACACCTAACCAATTTAGAGTTCAAGATAGCTTTCCAATCTTTTTTGTTAATTTTTTAAAAAATTTTTTGTGAAGCAAGGTTGTTTTTATTGAAACTTAGAAAAATTTAAGTGGGGAGAAGGTGTGTTCCTGAGAAAATATGGGCTTCTCAGAGTAGAAATAAGCAAACAAAGAAACAGACATATGAGATGCATATTTAAGGGAAACCGTGGACTTGAAGAGCTGCTTTTCAACCTTTTAAATACATTTGATATCGTTTATGCTGTCAGCTCTATTTAATTTGAAAAAAAGAAATTGAAAGAGTATATGGACAAGAAGATGTATTGGTAATTACAACTTCAAAGAGTAATTTATCAAGAAAGAAAAATACAAAAGCAACTACTGCTTGCCTAGTAACGTTTCCACTTTTTTTAAAAAATAATTTCCCCTACTCAACTGTTTTATTTAATTTTTTTTGGATTTGGGCCACAACCGGCAGTTCTCAGGGCTTAGTCCTGTCTCTGTGCTCAGGTCACTCCTTGTGGGACTCGAGGAACCATATGGGGTCTGGGGAATCAAACATGGGTCTAGCCACCTGCAGAGCAAATAAATGCCTTACCTGCCATGCTCTCTCTCCAGTCTCGATTGTTCCACTCTTAAGAGTATACAAAATTCATAGTTTCATAGTTCTGTTATAGAATTAAGCAATAAAGCTAAGCAAAAACATTCACCATCCAAAAATACCCACCTCTTGGGGGATATAAAGGGGAAAAAAAATTTTTTTTTTTTTAAAGAATTACCTGTGGCAAGCCAGAGAGCTCTTGCCTTGCACACAGCCAACCCTTATTCAGTCTCTCGTGCCACATATGGTACCCTGAGCTCACCAGGAGTGACCCCTGAGCACTGCCAGATGTTGGTCCCCACTATACACACCAACCCCCAAAAACGAATTGTCTGTGAAATTGGGGTGATTTTTTTTCTTTGATAGCGCTTGAGCATTTACTTTGTATGTGGGAAACGAGCACTGCATGGTCCCGTGGCCCTGAAACACAGAACCAGAAGTAGCCCTTGAGTATTGTCTGGTGTGACCCCACCACCACCAAAAAAAACTAAATAAAATAAAATCATCTATGGTAAATGACTCCTTGAGAAACTTTAAGCACTAAAAATTTAGAATTTTTATACTTAGATTATTTAAAATACTTTAAAAAGTTAGTTTTATTTGATGACTTATTTTTTGAGTGATGTTTCAATAGAAAAAAATATAAAATATATCTCAAGCTTGAATAACATCTAATTCAGGTCAGCATTTGGGGCAGGGACGGGTTTGTGGGCAGCACCCAGAGATATTCAAGGCTTGTTTCTGGTTCTGGGTTCAGGCGTGATCCCTGGTGGTATTGGGGGGACCTTATGTGGTGTTGAGAATCAGACTGGGTTAAGTCTCGTGCTCCTATGACCTCATGCTCCTTAGCTTCTGTAATATCTTTCCAGTTTTTGAAAGGAAAAGGCTAAACCAAGGTAGAATAGATTTAGATATTAAATCTGGGCAGAAGTCTGCAACCGAGATCCACATTGACAGCATTCATGTGATGGGTAGTAGAGTATTCGTGTTCTCGTGGTGGCAGTTGTTACAGCTGTAATTCGTTTGACTTGGACCTATTTATTCTCCAGTGCCCCTTGAGTCTCAGTTGGAAGTGACTTAGTCTCCCCACTTTCCTCTGTTGTAGTGAGTGGTTTTCTACCCGGAATGATTTCACAGTGTCCAGTGACATTTTAAGTATCACAACCAGAAGGATATGATATCTAGTGGGTGCTGCTGTCCTTCGGAGCACAGAAAAGACTCTTGTAGCAAAGCATTTTTGTGAACCAAAATCTCAAGAATGGGGCCAGAGAGATAGCACAGCAGGTAGGGCTTTTGCCTTGAATGCAGCCAACCAGATTTGCTTCCTCACACCCCATATGGTCCTTTAAGCAGACCAGGAGTTGACCCCTCAGCACAGAGCCAGGAGTAAGTCCTGAGCACCACCAGTTGTGACCCAAACCCCAGCCCCCGGAAAATATCAGTAATGTTGAGGTGGAGAGACCTTGTTTTGTTATGGTAAAGATGGTAAAGGCCCTCCCGTTGATCGTCGATTTGCTCGAGCGGGCCCAGTAACGTCTCCATTGGAGACTTTGTTGTTACTGTGTCTGGCATATCGAATACTCTCGGTAGCTTGCCGGGCTCTCCGAAGTTTTGTTATAATATTGTAAAATTTTATTACATACAATATTCTGGTATTATTTAACTTCTGCTTAGTACAACTTAATAGCTAACATTTAAGTTCTGATTATAGTATATATGAAGTATTCATTCAGATGATCCCAGGTGTTTATTACTTTTTTAGATTATCAACAGGAAATTAAGAATTTCTTACAGAGCTCATTGCCCTGAACATGGAACATAGCTGTAGGCTGGAGACATGGCTAAAGGGCTTATGGGGTACCATCGCCGATGACAACACCCTGATGACTGAGCTGGGAGTAGCCCCGAGAACCACTAGGTGTGAGCCCCCTTCTCCCCCCAAATTTTGTGTTTTTTTTTTTTAAGAAAGAAAAAATATATATCTATAATCCCTGATTAAGGGAAAAGAAATATGTTGCTGATGCTAATAGATGAATAATCTTATTAACCTTGATCAAAAATACATTTTCAGGGGCCAGAGTGATAGTACAGTGGGTGGGGCATTTGCTTTGCATGCGGCAGACCTGGTTCGATCCCCAGCATCTCATACTGTCCCCTGTGCACAACAGGAGTGAAACACAGAGCTAGGAATAAACCCTGAGCACTGCTAGGTGTGACCCCTCACCTCCAAAATACATCTTCAGTATTAACAAAAAAAAAAAGATTGAGACTGGAGAGTGATAGTACAGGGGGTAGTATCCTTTATTTGGTTGGACTTTGGGCTGTCTCTTATATGTATATTTCTTATACAGCTGTCCTAGTGATAGAATCTTGAAACAGAATACTTGAAGACAATAAAAGAACACATAGCAGACCACAGTGGTAGTACAAAGTGCTTGCCTTGCACAGGACTAACCTGGGATTCCCAGCATCCCATCTGGTCACCCCAAGCCCTACTAAGTAATTCCTGTGTGCAGAGCCAGGAGTAACCCCTGAGCATTGCTGGATGTGGGCCACCCAAAATAAAAATACATAGCTAGCACTAAATATAAATATTTTATAGTTCAACTTTCCCAGAACTTAGTTTTTGTTTTTGTTTTTTTAATTTGGGGTCAGGATGAGAACTTAGAATTTCTAAAGAACCTTTAATTGACCCTGATATAACACAGATAAATAACTCCCCAGTGGAGATGAAACCTCTTTGTTCTTTGTTCCTCTCTGGACATAAACATACCATACAATCGGACGTTCCATCTTCCAAATTCATGTTCTAAAATCATAAAGACACCCTGTCTTGTCTTCCAGGAAGGCACATAGGATTATTATGAATCTGAGATAATAGGTAAGTACATTCAAACCTGAATTTAGTAAGGCCTAGTTTGCATCTTCAAATTGCCGCCACTAAAATTTTCCAGAAGAAATACTTATTATGTAGTGGTAAATTAGTATAGGTGAGTATAGGCAGAATACAGAACATACCCTTATCTTTATTAAAAACAAGTTAGTGTCTCAAAGAGAAGATTCGCCTTCATTTGTGTTTTTTTTTTTTCGTATAGGTTTTTTTGGGGGGAGGTGTTACATGCCTCTCGCTTCAAAAATGAAAAAGCTAATTAGACATTTTGGCTCTTTCTGCAGATTAACCCTAGTTTATGATAACTTCAGTACATTTTGAAATCTCCA